TTATTATTGCTTGAAATTAATTATAGAAAAAAGGGGCAGGAATAAGATATTTTTTCTTCTTTCTGCCTCCTTTCATTTCAGTTTGATTTGTATATTTTTTGTTGTGTGTACAGTATATGTTGTGTATTTTTTTGTTTTTTGTTTTAAATGTGTATATATTTTTTGTTTTAAATGAAATGAATAAACTAACTAAACTAAAGTAAACTAAAAGATTACATTGCCTGTGCATTCATGTGACCTAGTGTAAAGAACTCTCCAACAAACAAGATTAGACGCAACCAATACCCAATTAAAAGTRTTGTGTGACGTTTCACTGTTAATCAATCATAGTAATCAAGACTAAACTTATGTGACCTGAAGTTGTAACATAGAGCTACACACAAAAGCTATTTTGTACGTATGTATACAGTACTGTATGTAGCAAGCTTTATGGATTAACCTTGATCCAGGTTTATATTAATACAGCCTAACATGTAAAGATGTATCATGTAAATTAATGACAATCAGTACATAGTAGATTAGACCTTTGTCCACATGAACATGTAGGTGTTCCCATTTTTGTGAGGATGGCCGTGAGCCTTTATTCATTGTTCAGACCTAATTTTTGTTTTGGGAACAAAACAAACTGTTTCGCCCTCTTAACTTCTCAGGAAAACACAAGTGAGAACTGCACTTTCCCCACTATTTGATTTTAAGATGTTTAACAAAATCTTATAAATGTGCACAGCGATGGTAATGAAAATAACGACAGGTTTGGGTAAAAAAGGCTGGGTAGTTCCTGCAGCTATGAGGCACATTACTTGCTGTTCAATATCCATCGATTGTTCTGTTGCTGTCAAAACTACTGGCTTGATTGACAGGTGGTGTCAATTATTTTAACTCTCATCTGTTCTCCTCGTATGTTTTTTTAATCATCACCTTTGTCTTGTTTGTACCTACAATAAACAAGCCTTTGCCACACCGTGCTCCTTGTGGTTCACCAGTGTTGTGTACTCAGTTTCCTGTCCACCACTAGTGCAAACCACAACAGCAGAATCATCTATTTAGGTTGATGACAGGGTTCTGAGCATTACTAAAAGTGTCAGGTTTATTTAAGTGACTGGAAATGATGACTRTATAATTTCCTCTGTGTGTTTTTTAAACAACTTAGCAACAATTTAAAAGGAATGCAGTACTTAAAATCCATCCAACATTTTATATTTTCACATTCATGTAGTAGTTATTTTCAAATATTTTAAAAGTTTTCTGACTGTTTTTGTACCACCACCTACGCTGAACAGTGGGTTTTATCGAGTCATAACCTTGTCGAACAAAACATCTCAAAAATATCCACTGAGGGAAAAATTCTATGTTCTCAGAAACTGCTGATATGTCATAATTTGGTAWATATTCYGACTAGTGATGGATATGTGAATAATGATGTGCAACAAGCTTGCATAAGTGAAGAAATCGCAGGCTGTTTGGTAATTAKTCAAAACAGTGATTGGAAGTCAGCAGATGGAGAAGATGCCTTGTTGATCCATTAGGCAGCATTGTACAGTYTGGGTTTATTTATTTGTTCTTTAAAAAAAGAAAAAACTATACATGATAAAAAACACAAATGGAATGAAAGGAAGAGGAAAGAAGAAAAAAAATCTTATATCTTCCCCCTTTTTCCCAACTTTATTTTTCATTTAGTCTGATATTGCATTTCAGTCATATGACATTTTAACTTCTTAGTGCAAATTGTTCATTGCACATCTTTGGTTTCCATAGGATAATGGTTACKTTTTGGTCTGTGTTTATTTTTAAAAAGTACTTTTTGTGTTTCCTGCTAAACATATAAATTGTAAACATTAAAGACKAATACTTGTCAGCTTGTAAGTGTTGTCATTGTGAGCAAGTTGAGGCTCAAAGCACAATATAAGTTCATTTTTAGAGATGYAAAAATGTTCCTGTCACAAATCAACATGTAACCGAAGAGAGGCCATTCTCTTCTATTGTCCATTAGTAAGTCCGTAACTTTCCATTAGAAGGCATTGATGTGGTTTAAGGAGAGAGCCTTTAGTCTGACAAGTGATCAATAAACATGACAGCAGTAAGGYSAAGTCCTGGTAGCTAATTCTATTTRCAGTAATGGGAAAATTTGTGGGTGCAGGTGTTAGGTTATGCGGTGTGTCGATCCATGTTTGCATGAGATAGTGGTCTGAAATGAATAAGCTGTCTGTTTTTTTCTGTGGCATCCTGAGAATAGCCAAGCAACYATGTATGGATCATTTTTTACCTTCTGGTATAAAAAAACCTTTTTAGAGGTTCATTCCATTTCTTTTTGCTAACTTGTCACTCTTCTAGGCCTCTTTGTTTTGTGAAATTATACTTTTTTATCACTGAAAATGCAAATTGTTATTTTAAGTGGAAAAAGCAGTCAGCAATGACAAGTTGTTTTATTAAAACTTTGTGTGAGTGTGTCTCTTGAAATYTTTTCTTGTGTGTTTTCAGATGGATCTGAAGCTGATTTTTATAGCAGTGTTGGGGCTCTTCTGTTGCTGCACTGCTCAGAAAGGTAAGAMTTACGATGCTCCTGTTTAAAAGTGTGGTTTGCATGAGCTGCAGTGTTTTAAGATGAGCTGATGTGTAAGGGCTAAACAAGGCAGCTTCCCTGCTCTGTACCTCAGCTCTCTGAGTTTCACTGCTCTTTCTTTGTTCTCCATCTAGAGGGGAAAGAGTGCATCAGTGCCAATGCCAAACACTGTGGGGATTGCATCCAGCATGGAGCCAAATGTGGCTGGTGTACAGACCTAGTATGTAAATCACAGCTGTCGAATGTATTCAGTGCTGCTGAGTATTACAGGCAGATAATCACTTCAAATTATTTTAAAAAATGTTCAAACTCCAGTGTTCAGTGCTAAACATAAGCCTATTTTTCTGTACAACATTGAACATTAAACATGTATCTGTATAAAATCGAGACAGATGAACCTGTTTGATTGATTTTTAATTTTTCTTGTGTTGCCGCTCTTAGAACTTCCTAAAACAGGGTGAGACGGTGTCGAGTCGTTGTGACGAGCTGCAGTCTCTGATAAAACGGGGCTGTGCGGAGTCACTAATTGAAAACCCACGCGGGAAAAAACACATCCTTACGAACAAACCGGTCACAAATCGCAATAAAAGAGAAAAAAAACTCAAGCCAGAGGATATTACTCAGGTCCAGCCCCAGAAACTGAGCCTCACTCTTCGATCTGGTTTGTATTTATTCAAAGAAAGTTGTTGTTGTTGTTGTTGATTTTATTTTTTTTCTTAGCATCTATATGTTTAAATATGCGTGACTTTTGGGGATTTATCTAATTATGCACATTTTATGCAGGTGAGCCTCAGTCTTTTAACCTGAAGTTCAAACGGGCAGAAGATTATCCCATTGACCTGTACTATTTAATGGACCTGTCCTACTCCATGAAGGATGATTTGGAGAATGTTAAGAACCTGGGAACTAGTCTGATGGTGGAGATGTCAAAGATCACCTCTGATTTCAGGATAGGTGAGGATTCCACTGGTCTGCGTCTCTACACAGAGTCTCAAATAGAAAACAAGCACATAATGCAATAAACAGTTGTATTATAAAGGGTTCTGACTTTCCTTTAATTTTTTTTTCAGGTTTTGGGTCTTTTGTGGAGAAGACGGTCATGCCTTACATCAGCACCACCCAGGCCAAGTTACTGAACCCATGCACAGGCGACCAGACCTGCACCAGCCCCTTCAGCTACAAGAACGTGTTAAAGCTGAACAGTAATGGCTCATTGTTTAACACTTTGGTGGGCCAGCAGCACATTTCTGGAAACCTGGACTCTCCCGARGGGGGCTTTGATGCCATCATGCAAGTGGCTGTTTGCGGGGTAAACAAAAAGATTTACTGCTGTTAAGTCATTCAGTAGGAAAAACCAGCTTCATATTTAAAGAGGAAATATCATGCAAAATTCACTTTTTTAGCCATTAAATACATTTGCGTACTCTGGGTCAGACACCAGCAACATCATCAGCAGGGTAGAACTAATCTGCCTCACGACGGTCTAATCCCAACATGTAAGGCTGGATGGACAAGTCTTCCCTTGTTGACATCTTTTAAACCATTTGRGAATAAAAAGTTTCTGCACTGCTGGCAACTCTGGTGTAACTGCTACCAAACTACAGAAGTAGCCGCCGAACAGGTGGACAGTGATCGTTGGTAGTTAGACCTGGGGGGGGGGTTCATTTACATTTAAATAGACCGCCACTAAAATGAGTGAACCTCAGATGCACCTCATTGCAGTTCCACTTTATATAGATCTCAACTGAATGATTTAAAAGCAGGATATGTCTACTTTAAATAATTTTCCCACTGTCATCATCACTATCAGTGCCTAATCTGTATAATTATTTCTATGGTGATTCCTTTGTGTTTTTAAAGAAACTTTTATATTAATATCAAAATATACAAATCATCTAAGATGCCCAGCAAACCCACTGGTTTTAAAGGTAGCAACACCAAATTATTCTTATTTGAATTACGTCTCTTTTGTTGTTTATTAGGAGCAGATTGGCTGGAGGAACGTGACTCGTCTGCTTGTGTTCTCCACTGACGCCGGCTTCCACTTCGCTGGAGATGGCAAACTGGGTGGCATTGTACTGCCCAACGATGGAAAATGTCACTTGGAGAACAATACTTACACAATGAGTCACTATTATGTAAGAAGTTTGTGTCTCAGRCCATTTTGTTTATAGTTTCCTGTGACGTGAAGCCAGCTATTTGACTTTTSTCTTCCACCTTCTAAGGACTACCCATCCATTGCTCACCTTGTTCAGAAGCTGAGTGACAACAACATTCAGACTATCTTTGCAGTCACAGAAGAGTTTCAGCCTATTTACCAGGTTAGTTTTTTTAACCTCTTTTTTTTCATCCTGGCTGATTTTTTTTTATTTCATTTTAGGGCCGTTGTCCAGTGCGAAAGGGCGGTTTACAAAATTTTTATTAGCATGCTTCAGAGATCAGAAATTCCTGTGATGTCTGAATCTGAAATTGAATGTCTAAAGTTTTATACTTTGGGATTGTATTCTGGTACATTTTTGAATTTGTGCTGAAGTGATGTGTTTAGAATAAAGTTTTAATCACTCTGTGCTGCCCTAAAGACTAATAGAAATGTAATTAAACCAACCTTAGAACTTCTCTCTCTTCAGGAGCTGAAGAATTTAATACCAAAGTCAGCTGTGGGAACTCTGTCAGCCAACTCGAGCAATGTCATCAACCTYATTATAGATGCTTACAACGTAAGAACATTCTTCACATTTGAACTTTAAATTCTCTTTAGTAAAACTCGTTTTTTTGCTTTTTTATAACACATAAATGATCAATGAAAACTTCACTCAATGTTTGTTCTAAACACACTGATTTAATCTAATCCTCAGATTATCCGTTGTTTATTCTGTGCTGTCTAAACAAAGCTACCAGATGACATTCCAGAGCAGAACATCACAACATTTCTTCTGTTATCTTTTGGATTTTTTGGCAGTCTCTCTCGTCCGAGGTGATTCTGGAGAACAGCAAGCTTCCAGACGACGTGACTATATCATACAAGGCGCACTGTAAGAACGGGGTGGTTAATGAGGGTGAAGCTGGAAGGAAGTGCTCCAATATCTCTATTGGAGATGAGGTGAGAACTGGAAAATGGATCTGGTATCCTTGGTGTTTTAAGTCATGGGTCAAATGAACACCTGCAATTTCTAAAAGGACAGGCCATCAATCAGGTCATTGAGAAACAATGACAATTTAAATTAAATGACTGATTTCCTCCTATGAAATAAAAACATGGACGCTTAATCATTTAGTGATTCAACTTTGACCCTTGCAATGAGTGTGCATGGTTGTGTGTGTGTGTGTGTG